GAATGTCATGTTGCAAACCCAGGAACTTGGGATGTGGTTGAGGAGCCCAGTATGGGTTCAGTTGTTAATAGCGCTGTATCAGACCCTGAGGCCAGACAGGTGCTGATACAGATCTTGGCGTGTGAGAACGCAGATACTGAATGTAAGAGAGTGCTCACTTAAAAGCCTGGCAGCCCCATAGACAAACAGATAAGAGAGACACCTGGTCATGGCTCTCAGGAGCATCGTGCCAATATCATAGGACAAGCCCTGGCTAGAAGTCCCCAAAATCAAAATGCGCGGCACCTTAATTGTGTTGAATTTGGCCATTTCCAAAGAAATTAGAAGACTAGAAACTTCAGAGCTCAAAATGGTAGATGCACTAACTCTAAGAAATATGGCAATTTCACTCGTGGCCACAAACAGGCAGCTTCTGGCTGCAATATTCTAATGCCCAGATTCCCCAAACTGTGTAGGCATTGTAAAAAGGGAAAGCACTGGAGAGTAATGAGTATGTATCTAAATAGGGTGTAGAAGGTAATCTCTTGCCACTGTTAAACGAATGGAGGAGCCTGTCAGCTCGAGGCCCCACAGCAAAATATAGGAGCCCTCTTCCCTTGGACAGCCAGGAAGTGACAAGCAGGGATGAAGATCAAAACTAAAAATGACTGATCTTACCCCTGCCACTGAAGGCATCCGGCTTGGGGATCTGGGTCTCTCACACTATCCGCAAAAGTTCAGTGTTTGGTGTCTACGATCCTTGGTCTTCAGGGCCAGCAGGGACAATCCTGGGAAGAATCGGTTAACTTCTCAAGGATTGACTGTGCATCCTGGAGTTACAGATGGGGTTTTGAGGAAGAAATTAAGAAGGTGCAAATCTAGGCAGTGGATAGAATTGCTCAGCTGTTACTGTTCTCTTACATCAGGGGCAGGGCACTTGGCCAATATCTGATTTGTTGAGGATACCCAAAACATGTTTTACACCCCCACAGCAAGAAGTAATTTTAAGAACAGGACAACCCCATTCCCAAGAGATGGGGTGGGTGTTTTTGATCTTTTAGTGGGTTAGTCATGCTAGGGAAGGAAACAAAGTAAAGGTTAGAATCAGGGACCTCTCTTTCTCCTCTCTAGCCTTCTTTTTCTCTTAGCTAGTGTTAGGGGAAAGGAGGAAAAAGGAGGAATGGTAAAAGAAAAAATCCTATAGCTTTTATCCTATAGATTATTGAATCTACTACCCTGAAATATTATTTATTGTATGGATTATTATTGATAGAAATTTAAGATTGCTTTTTTTCATTTTTTGCTTAATGTATTGTACATATGCAACTTATTTGAAAATGTGATATAAAGTTCTAGTCTTACGAAGACTATTGCAAACTGTTCAGGATGGTTGGAGATGCAAAATAGATGCAAATAATCTTAAATGCAGCCTTGTTAGATAGTTGTTCTTCATTCGGGGAGGGCCTGGATTCTGGTTGCGGTCCTGGAACTAGGCTTCTGGATGGAGAATGAGGGATTCCGTTCTCAAGGGCAGCCAGAGCACATTAGGGTGAGGCCCGGATGCACTAAGCCAGGGTGGGGAAAGGGTTTCCACAGAGTGTTACAATTTAGCTCTTTTAACAGGAGGTCGCCAGTGTCAATGGAAGCTCCCCTAAGTGTTACAGCTCTTGGTCAAGCTGCTGTGCTCAGCAGGCAGAGGTGCAGGCCAAGGCCAACGCCTGGTTGGCTTGCGGCCAAGACAGGCCTGTTGAGGCCCAGGCCCAGCAGGCTAAACGGCAGGCCCAATGAGACGGGACCCGGCAGGGGATAAATGACGACTCTCAGGTGTCTTGAAGTGAGAAAGCTCGAGCCTTTATTCATGTGAAATCAAGGGCATATAAATCCTTTTAAAGGGTCTGATGGGGCTGAAGACTAGATAGTCATAGGTTAGTACAATTTTTAAGAAAGATTTATTTATTATGTATACAACAATCTGCCTGCATGTCTGCCTGCACACCAGCAGAGGGCACCAGATCCCATTATAGATGGCTGTGAGCCACCCTGTGGTTGCTGGGTATTGAACTTGGGACCTCTGGAAGAGCAGCCAGTGCTCTTAACCACTGAGCCCTCTCGTTTAGTTCTTTATGAACCAAGACAATGTTTTAGGTCTAAAAGGATGTTTTAAGGGCTAGAGAGATGTTTTTAGGTTTTAGGTTGATATAAGAAGGTGATTTAGGTACAGAACTTGGACTCACCAGGATAGGATAAATAATGAAATACTTTTTCCTTTTTTTTTTTTTTCTTTGCGACAGTGTTTCTCTGTGTAGCCTTTGCCTTCCTGGACTTGCTTTGTAGACCAGGCTGGCCTCCAACTCACAGAGATCTGCCTGCCTCCGCCTCCCCGAGTGATGGGATCACAGGCGTGTGCCACCATGCTTGTACTTTTTTCCAAGAATGCCAAATACAAATGGACTGTACATTGTAAATGTAATTCTTACCTGATAATTCTAATGTTCTTATTGTATGTAATTTATTAATATTAGAAAAAAGTCATTTTTAAACAAAAAGGGGAATATGTAATGGAAGTTTTGGTTTCTTTAAAAACTCAGTTATGTTATGTAAATATGTTTTTGTTTTAATCCCAAATGTGGAATTTTAGTTTGGGCTTTAGTATGTCCACAGCTGATAACTGTCTCTTGCGGGGCGTGGCCTTTGACAGCTGGTAATGGCCTGCCCCGTAGGGCAAGGGGAGAGGCGTGCTCTAGGGCTCTGAGGATATAAATATGAGAGCCCAGGAAGAGAAGGGGGTCATTCAGGACAAGAATGAAAACCCATTTCAATTCCTAGAGTGCCTTACACTCTTCCCTGAGCTGGGGGTGATAAATGAAAAGGAGCCCCTACCAATCCCGTTCGTGGACTCAGCAGCTGCCCAGCAGGATAAGAGTGCAATTCAAACCTTGCCTCTCTTGGCTGTTGCAGGAATCATGGCAGCTGTCAGAACCGGGACAGCAGGACTAGCCACTGCGCTAACTTTGTATTATCAGCTTTCTTCCTAGTTCATCCAGGACCTTCAGCAAGTGGCTCAGACAAGACTAACTCTCCAAGGACAGATCGACTCGCTGGCAGCAACACTTTCAGATTTTCAGACACGGACTGAATCTCCTCACAACTAAGGTGGCCTTTGCATCTTCCTCCAGGAAGAATGCTGTTTTTATGTCAACCAGTCGGGTATAGTAAAAGACAAAATCCAACAATTCCAGACATACATACAAAATAAAAGAGAACAGCTCGAGGCCCCTAGCTCTTGGGCCTTTGAGAAGCCCATTTGGAAATGGATTCTGCCCTTCCTCACACCTCTTCTGCTGTCTTTCTGCTTTTGCTTTTTGCACCCTGCTTTATTAATGTCCTCTCTACATTCCTCCGACGACAAATGCAAAAATTCTCCAACCAAACCCTTAATCAGTTACTTTTACAGGATTATGGACCTCTGCCCACAGAACCAGATGACAATGACCTTCCAGTCAACCCTGATGGTAGGGATCAGTTATATTCTGAGAATGACAATGCCTCTCATCAGCAGGAAGTAGCTTGAAGAGCAAAGGTCGCCCCTATGCCATGCCCACCATCACTGCTTCCTAGCTACTCTCTGTTAATAAAACAAAAAGGGAGGAATGTTGGGATTTGTAAGTGGGCATCTCTACAGTCAGCTCCAAGGAACCAGGCATCTGTGAAGCCACCTGCGGACCACCCATTGGCCACCTGGAACCACCTGCGCATGCTCTGGGTCATCTCATAAGAGAACTCGAACCACCTCCCCTCTCTCCTACCCTGCCCAGAGAAGGCTTCTGTGACCCTCCCCTCCCTTCCCTTAATAAAACAGTATGATCTGTGAACCTGAAAGAATCAGACTAACTTTGTAACCTATGTTTCTTTTAACTGCCTTATAACCTACAGTTTTAGGCCTATGTTAATTAAAGCCTTTTAGTGCTTCTCCAGAGAGCCGAGGAATGTAAAAGTTCCTGCCATTAGCCATCTGTGAGGGCAGAGATAAGAAAGAGAACAAGCAGAGATGCCTACTAAATGAAGAGTAAATCACCGATTGGCGCCTGGGAAATGGGCTTTGTTTGAAAACCGGGCCAAATGACCCCAATCCTTCTCCTGCATAGCTCCTGACCTTTGATCCAAAGCCTGTAACCCCCATTCCTCAGAATTAGACATGGGATAAATTAGTTAACTCTCCCATCTTTAACTGTGGCTATATCTCATGTGGCAAGAAATTCCAAACTGACCTGGAGATCAGATATTTACGGCAGGACTGACTGGACCTAAGAATGCCCAGAACCAACCAATTATTTTAAAAGTTGAACACCTCCTCCAATCCTAAATTGCCGCCTTCTGCCTTTTAAAAACCTAAGGTCTTTGTCTCCCGGGGCGCTCCTTGCTGACTTGCAGGGGTGACCCTATTGCGCAATAGTAAAAATAAAACCTCATGCATTTGCATCGGTCCATCTCCAAGAGTCTCTTTTAAGTGCTTCTTTTGGTAGTTAAGCCCCTGCTGAGCCTATTAGGCTCCTGATGGGCCTAACAAACCCTTCACACCCACCATGGAGCTTCTCTGCACAATCCTAACACAAAGACCCTAGAAAAACCTGTCCCTCTGCCCAGCCCGATGCTGTCTCTGTCCCAGTCAAAGTTGGCCACCATTCTGGATTTTCCCCAATAAAATCCAGAGATTTTTTTGTGTGAGATTTGTTGCATGGTGTGACTGTGGTACCAGAAAACCTTTTCTTTCTCTCTTTTTTTTTTTCTTCTTCAAGATATTGTATTTATCATATATACAGTGTTCTGCCTGCATGCATCCAAGCAGGCCAGAAGAGAGCACTAGATCTCATTATAGATGGTTTGCTGGGAACTGAACGCAGGACCTCTGGAAGAGCAGCCAGTGCTCTTAACCTCTGAGCCATCTCTCCAGCCCCCAGAAAACTGTACTTCCCAGAGCAGCACCCTGGTGAGTTTGAGGACGGACAAAGACAGCCTGGGCGTACAGTAAGAACAAAAGCAAAAGGACTTTAAGAAATCCAGAAAGGGAGTGGTTTTCAGCCTGAGAACATGGGCTGTTTTGCAAAAATAACTTCAAAGCAATGAGGGTCAAGTCAGGGTGGCCCAAGCAGAAAAAGGATTATTTGCCATGTCCACCCCAGGAGCTCATCAACATTTATCCTGGGGGAAGGTGACTCCGAGGATCTTCCTCACCTCCTCAAGGATTTCAGCAAAGAGCTCACTCTCTGCCAGAGGAACCACAGGGCTTTCCTTAAGACCTAGGAAGAGAGAGAACAGGAAGAATGTCTAAAACCCACACCCCAGCCACCAAGGAGACTACAATTCCCTTGGCATAAGCGGGGTGCTTTGAGAAGATGGACGTCCCTTGGTGCCCTGGGAAACATAGCTCTAAATAGCTGCTTGTGCTTCAGGGTAGAACGGGCCTCGGCATCCCCCTCAGCCCTCGCCCCAGGCTGCGGTCCTCCAGGACTCACCCTTGCGCAGACACTCTCGGACGTGGTTGGCTTCATAACTCATGCACGGCCCCTTTAAAAAATTGTACCCTTCCCCGAAGACAGGTGGAGGAAACTCTTTACGCTCGCCATTCACCACCAGCTCGGTTGGGCACCACATTTGGAGAATCTGGAGGAAGACAACAAGCGACGACTCAGCCCTCGTCAACAGGGTCTGGAGGGCTTTGCGGGACACATGCCTGTTGATGCGCCAGGACCAGCTCTGCACCTGAGACCTAAGCATCTACTCCCACTCAGTTGTGAGGTTAGACCTGCCTCCTGCCTGGATTGGGGTTGAAGAGGTTGCTGCTTAACAACGGTCCTGTCACACTAAGACTTGTCTGTTGTCTACCCAGAATCAAAACAACCTTAGACGTGAGGGTGAGAGGCTCCTTTAGCCGAGTGATAAGGGCTGATACCACAGTCTCCAGTGGCGGGACCACAGGCTGGAGCATCAATCTTGGCTCCCACACTTGGTTTTTATTTTATTTTATTTATTATTTTATTTTATTTTTAGTTGGCTGGCTGTAATGTAGCCCTCTCTGTGAGGCTGAGGTTGACCTTGGATTTCTGATTCCTCTGCCTGTGATTACAAATATCTAGTTTCCATACAACACCTTCCTTCTTATCCGGTAGAAAATCTGCAAGCTAAACTGGCCGGCTGCTCACTCGTCGGACAGAATGGAAAGACAGAGATGAGAGCTAGGACAAGAGGGCAGGATGGCTAAAGTCCTGTAAGTTGTAGGGAAAGGTAGGCACAACGTTATTGTGTACTGTGTAAAGATTCAAATGCTGATTTGTGTTCCCCTCCCCCAATCGGGCTGCAGTCCTTGTTCCGAGAACCTCCAGTCTCAGTGTTGTGTAAACACCGCTTTCCGGCTGTCCCCCGGCATGCCAATAAAGCAGCTAACAGCCAATCAATGAGCCGGGGAGAGAAGAGGGCTGGACTTCCTGCCAGCCAGGGGAGGAGGACACAGATGGAAATAGGGAATTCAGCCATGGGCAGATGTCCAGGAGTCATCGGGAGGGAGCAGCTGGACAGAGAAAGCCAGAAAGTGCAAAAATCTCAGGGATTTTGGCAAAGAAAAAGTCACACTAGCTTAGAGGATTAAAATAGAGTAATAACTGCTCAGTTGTGCCATAAGGCATATAAATAACTTAGTGCAGTCTCAAATATTTGGGTGTTAGTTGGGTTAACAGAGAAACTGCAACACACACAATTTTAAAACTACAACTGGCAGGGAAAGGCTCAAATTATTCTATATTTTGACTTGCTATAAATATGATTTCTTTCTTTTTTAAGATTTATTTATTATGTATACAGTGTTCCGCCTGCATGTACACAGACATGCCAGAAGAGGGCACCAGATCTCACTATGTGGTGGCTGGGAAAGAACTCAGAACCTTTGGAAGAGCAGCCAGTGCTCTTAACCAATGAGCCACCTCTCCAGCCCATGATTTCTTTCTTTTTTTTTTTTTTAAGAAAAAAAAAAAAAAAAAAAGAATTGAAGTGTTAGGGATCAAACACACTATCGGGTGCAAACTAAAAAAGTGCTCTTCTCCTGAGCCATGCCCACAGCCCCACACTCGACGATTCTAGGTAGGTTCTCGATCATTGCCCTGTGTCTGCAGATTCTCTTTGTACTTTTTATTTTTGAGGGTCTTGCTGAGTGGTCCAGACTGTCCTTGAAATCCCTCAAGCTCCAGGATAGTCTGGAACTTGTGATTTCTGCTGTACCTCTAGGCCCAGCAGGATTACATTTCTTTGGCAGCTAGGTATCACGTGCGGGGTACCGTGGACGCTAGCCATGTCTTCCACTGGGCCGCACTTTCAGACCAAGAATGGGCTTTCTTTCTGGCAACAGCATTCCAGGAATCCAGGAAACGCTGGTACACACAGATGATGTCTGGAAAGACCACACACACAGTGCTGGAGAGATGGCTCAGTGGTTAAGAGCACTGGCTGCTCTTCCAGAGGTTGAGTCCAATTCCCAGCTCCCACTTGGTGGCTCACAACCATCTACAATGAGATCTGGCACCCTCTTCTGGCGTGCAGGTATACATGCAGACAGAACACTGTATACATAATAAATAACTAAATCTTAAAAAAGAAGAAAAAGATTTTGGGAGAAAAATAAAGATAACACATACGAGTGGAAACCCCCAAGCATGGCTAGCATTATGTTTAGAACCTGACTTGTTCAGAGGCTCAGGAGTTGGTACACCGAGCTCCCAGCGGGTGCTGCTGCTTTGGAAGGTTGTGGAACTTGTGGTACATAGGCACCAGAGAGCGGAAGTGGGTGGCTGGCGTGCGGGCCTGGGAGGTCACGTCCACACTTGGCACCCCCTTGAGCTCTCTGCTTCCACTGTTGTAGACCAAACTGGCTCAGCCTTCACGCCATGACAGACCGACAGGCCTGGAAGCCTGGGCTGAAATAAACCTTTCCTTCAGTTCAGCTGCTTCTGTCGGGTATCTGGTCCCAGGGATAGGAAAAGCAGCAAACACAGCTGGAAAGACCTGGGAGCTGGAGTACCGCGGTGGCAGAGCGGGTGTTCAGCAGGACAGAAGGCCAGCCTTCCATTCCCAGCCCCAAAAGCCAAACCTCACCCAGAACTAGCTTGTCCTCCGCCTGAGGGTGCGGGGCGTGGCCTCTGGGCCCCCACCGCTGCTGTGGCTGTTGGGGGGCGCAGGCCGCTCAGTCTCAGTACCCGGCTCCCCGCACTTGGACGCTGCCGTGACTCTCACCTGGGCCGTGCCCTTCGTGCCGTTCACGTAGGCAGTGTTGGGGAGGGCGGCGGAGATGCTGCAGGTGAAGCTCCCGTGGACCCCTCCCGGGTACTGGAGCAGCACGCTGACAGTGTCATCCACGCCTGCACGGAGAGCGCACGTCAGCACAGGCTGGGGCGGAGCCCCGGGTTAGACCCAGCGCACCGTGACCCGGACACAGGGCCTGTGTGGCGGGGGGTGGGGGTGGGGTGGGGTGCTTGTTTTGGTTTTGTCGTTTTCGCTGGGTTTTATTTGATCGAGACAGTCTCTTAGCTGCGCGGGCTCATCTTAGACTTCCATGTTTAGGCCTCTTCAATAATATGTTCAGGCCTTGGGTTCTATTTACTGTTCCCAAAGAAAAAGAGGACACTGGAGAGGTGGCTCAGCAGTTAAGAGCACTGGCTGTTCTCCAAGGTTCAGTTCCCTGCACCCACATGGCAGCTCACAGCTGTCTGCAACTCCAGTTCCAAGGGGCAAACAAAACACCTATACGTAGAAAATAAAAACTTTTTCCTTGTTTTATTCGAGACAAGGTTTCTCTGTATCCTCCTGGCTGTCCTAGAACTTACTTTTAGACCAGGCTGGCCTCGAATTCACCTAGATCAGTCTGCCTCTGCCTCCTGAGAGCTAGGACTAAGGGCAAAGGACTATGCCACAACAAAACACACTTTATTTGTTTATTTGAGACAGGGTTTCTCTGTGTAGCCTTGGCTCTCTGGGCACTCACTCTGTAGCCCAGGCTGACCTTGAATTCAGAGTTCTACCTGCTTCTGCCTCCCGAGTGCAGGGATTAAAGGGGTGCACCACCTCAGGGCACAATTTGTCTATATTTCTTAACTGCTGACATTTGCCTTAACAGTTACTTCAGTTCTTCATGAACTCCCACAACACCCCTATTATCAACATTTGACTATGCAGATAATTAAGATTCAGTCTGGGCCTGGCATGGTGTGCAAGCCTTTAATCCTAGCAGAGACAGGCAGATCTGCAAAGCTCATCCAGGACAGCCATCACAGAGTTACACAGAGAAACCCTGTCTCGAAAAACCAACCAACCAGCCAACCAAAACAAACCAAAACAGAAGATTCAGCCATCCGCTCTGGGATCACATGGTGAAAAGTGTTGGGGTTCGGAGCAGGGCTCTGTCTGCCAGAGACATTGGGCCCCACCCTTCTTCCCATGGATGAGGTAGTCCTTGAACTACATTTCCCAGAAGGCAGCCACCTGCTTAAACCATGTATATACATACACAGTTCTGGGAATGGTAGTTCCTTATGTGTCTAGGCCTGGAAGTCCCTCCAGCTGTCTAACTTGATTTCTCCAAAGGACCAGGAGAATCGGCCATCCAGCCGAGGGTACCTGTTTCATGGATCCTTCCCACGGCTGAAATCTTCTCTGGCTTCTGCGCACCAAAGACCAAGGAGAGGAACTGGACGCAGTAAATGCCTAGGTCCAGCACGCCGCCTCCGGCCTGGCTCCGGTCTGTGGCCCGGGGTAAACTGTTGTTTACATTAAACCCAAGTTCTGCACGGGCCACTCGCAGGTCCCCGACAGTTCCTTGGCCCAAAACTTCTCGCAAAGCCTCCACAGCAGGAAAAAACCGGCTCCAGACGGCCTGCAGACCAGAGAGGTGAGCACAAGGAAATGGGGACATCAGGGGGTACTCAGCCACACCTCCCTCAGGACCCTAATCTTGACCTTCCCCGCTGTGGCTCGAGTTTTCCTGTTCCAACTACCTGGGTCCCAAGCCCCCCCCCCCCTTTTTTTGAGACAGGGTTTCTCTGTGTAGTCCTTGCTGTCCTGGACTCGCTTTGTAGACCAGGCTGGCCTAGAATTCACAACGATCTGCCTGCCTCTGGCCCGAGAGTGCTGGGATCGCAGACCTGTGCCACCGTGCCCGCTCAGTGTTTTTAATTTTTAGATAGGGTATTACGTAGCCCAGACTGGCTTCCAGCTAGGTAGCCGAGGTGAGTGTCAGTGGAGGAAGTGCCTAGATCAGATGGGCCTGTGGGGTAGTGTCTTGATTTTAAGTGCTCTAGGACTGCCCAGCCCACGGTGGGCAGGTGGGCCTGAACTCAGAGACTTGGGTTACGGAAGAACAGAAACCACTGAGATAGTAACTCTCCAGTAAGCCCAACCTTTCCTTCCTTCCTCCTTACCTCCCTCCCTCTTTGTTTTTGTTTTTCTTCCGTTCTTTCTCCCCCACGCCACCTCTCTCTGTCTCTATGTCATTGTCCCCCTCCCTCTTTCTTTCTTTCTTTGAGACAGGATTTTGTAACCCTGGCAGGCTTGGAACTCAAAAAGATCCAAGAGCTGAGATTAAAAGTGTTGAAAGCCAGGTGGGGGTGGCGCACACCTTTAATCCCAGCTTTCAGGGAGGCAGAGGCAGGGGGATTGCTATGAATTCGGGGCCGGCCTGGTCTACAAATGGAGTCTAGGACAGCCAAGGCCTCCTTCCCAGCGCTGAGATGACAGCAGTGAACCACCACACTCCTTCTCGTGGTGCTGGGAACGGACCCTGTGCGGCAGGGAAGCTCTGTCCACTGAACTACACCTCAGCATCTCTATGGCGGCTCCTGGTTGTCTCTCTCCCCCCCCCCCCCCCCCCCGCTTCCCTTTTTATTTTTTTTCCCTATCTGAGACAAGGTCTCACTGTGTGGCTCTAGCTGGCGGGAAGTTTGCTATCTAGAAAAGTGTGGACTCAAACTCACAGTGTCGTACTTGCCTCTGCCTCCTGAGTGCTGGGATTAAAAACCTGATCTCGGTTGACTTTAGAAACAGCCACTGATTTGTGGGGGGAGGGGGCACGGCTGGAGGCTGGCTCAGAGATTAGGAGCACTTGTGCTTGCAGAGGACCAGGCTTGCCTCCTTCCTGCCCCACGGTGGCTCAAAGCCCCTTCAGCTCCAGATCTGACCTCATCTTCTAACCTCTGTGGGCACCAAGTACACAGATGGCATATGAAATAAAGGGAATAACTAAAGGGTTTTTTAAAGCACTAATTTTGGAAGTGTGGTGGTAAGTTTTTAGTCTCTCATTAGCACTGCCTCAGATGGCATCTCAGTCCAGCCAAGGAATGGGTTAAAAACTGCCCTGCCTTGACTGTTTCCTCCCCGGAGGTGGGGTGGATCCGGGAAGTCGCTCCCTTTCATTATCTCCTGTTCCCCAGTAGAAAGGACCTTTCTGTGTGTCAGTATTTTAACTTTTCCTGGAACCCTTTAGGTTTTCCTGGAAGAAGAAGAGGCTGAGTCACCGTTCCTGTCCGTGGTTCCCTTAGCCTCACAGAGCAAGCAGCAACCGGCAGAGAACAGAAAGCTGAGCTCCTGCACGCTCCAGGGACTCTCCTGACACACCTCTCCGGGACTCCCGGGTAAGTTGAGCACCAACAACCCCTAAGCAAGCCTCTGTCTTCTTTGGTTTTCTTGCTTTCCAAATAAATACTTTTCCTTCAAGTGGGGAGTAATGAACTTGAGTTTGTGGCTTCAATAGATGCAGTAGATTCAGTCACATCCTGGCCAGCACAGAGATACTGATCCTTTTGTGTGTGTGGGGGGGTACATGTTGACTGGGCAACCATGTTTAGTAATGGTAGGTGGTGCTATGTGGCTGTCAGGGGGGACTTTCCAGGCTTACCTCCATGAGGAAGCGGCCCTGAGAACGGGCCTCTGCAACCATCTCCCGAACTTCTGCTGCATTCACGCCCATGGGTTTCTCGCAGAGGACAGCCTTGCCTGCAGCCAGGCAGAGGAGCACGGCAGACTTATGCTGGGGGTGCTGGGTGGCGATGTAGGCCACCTCTAGGGTAGAGGAAAGGAGATCAGATCGGCAGCCCTGCCCACAGGAAGAGGCCTGGCCCATAATGTTCAAGGACAAATTAGTGGATACAATCCTAATCTTTTAATTGGGAAGAGACTACCAAGCTTTTGAGAGGCTGAGACCAGCCTGGGTTACATAGTGAGGTCTGAATCAAAAAGGCCAGGCATGGTAGCCCACACCTTTAATCCCAGCACTTGGAAACGGGAAACCAAGGCAGGTAGATAGATCTCTGTGAGTTTGAGGCCAGCCTGGTCTACATAATAAGTTTCAGGTCAGCCTGGTCTACACAGTGAGACCCTTTCTCAAAACAAACAAACAAACAAACAAACAAACAAACAAACACACAAAACAGAAAACAAAAACAAAAAAGCAACAAAGTGTTGGGCCAGCTCCATGGAGCCTTTGCTTAAAGTGTGAGAAGCCCTGGGTTCCATCTGCAGTACCTGCAAAATAAACAAGTCCATAAACCCTTCTCAGATCCCCTAGCCTGTGAGAAGCTTAAGACCCAGCCTTAGCTGTAGAGGCCTGACCTCCAAGCAGCATAACATTGGTCAGCCAGCCTCTGGCCAACTGCATTCCCGTTCCTTCCGCTTCCTGCCACAGCTGAACCGGAGCCTTTCCAAAGCCACTGGAGAGTCAGGCTAGCCGTAGGCACACTCTTACAAGAGAGTCTGCGATAGCTTTGCCCAACCTCCATCATTCAGGCCACTCACCCACGTTAGGGTCCTTGGCCAGCTCCTCGTAGGAGCCATAGGCCTTGGGGATGTTGTATTTCTGTGCAAACTCCTTCGCCCGGTTCAGGTCCCTCGCGGCCACTGCCACCACCTAGTGTCAGATTCAAAGGGTCAAGGTGGGACCATTGTGGAAGCAAAGGTGGATGGGGAGGAAGCAATGGAGGAGGCTGCAGTGGGGGTTATAGCCTCCTCCGAGATGGCTAGGGAAGATACTCCTGTGGCAGACAGAAGGACATGGACGGTGGAAAGCCAGATTTATTTTAGGCTGTGCCTGGGGTCCAGGCCAGCCTAGGCTGCATAACGAGTTCAAGACCATCCTGGGTATGTGGCAAAACTCTGAATAAAAAGGAAAAGGAGCTGGGGGCGGTGGCACACGCCTGTGATCCCAGCACTCAGGGAGGCGGAGGCAGGCGGATCTCTGTGAGTGTGAGGCCAGCCTGGTCTACAGAGAAAGTCCAAGACAGCCAAGGCTACACAGAGAAACCCTGTCTCGGAAAAGACCGCCCCCTCCTCCCCTGTTGTAAGTGACGATTAATATTTACTATTGGTTTATCTTCTGGTAAAGCTTGCTGTTAATCCTCAGCAGCTGTATAGCCAAATCACCACAGAGACTGGGTTTTTAGTTAACCTAGAACACAATGCTGGGCAATATTTACTCCCTCCTAAACCTCCAAGCCCTCAGTTTCCTAACATTTAGATTTCCCACATTATACTTGCTTTTTGTGAAATCTTAGGTCTGGTTCATGCTCCACGTCCTCCAAGATCTCTCCTCCAGCTCCGCTCTCCTCGCTCCCCTCTCGCCCCTTCTCCTCCCACTCATCCCTGCCTTCTTTCCTGTCCTCTGGCTCTTCCCTGCTCATTGTCTCTAGTTGCTTTATATTGTCCTGTTTACACAAGAGTTGAGACAGGATGCTTAGAATGAGTATCACAATGCAATATCCAATTGAAACCAGAGAGTTGGGGGTGGCGTGGGGGAGAAATCAGTATTTGAATGAACAAGGTAAGGTGTATACATTTAAAAAAAAAAAACAAAAAAACATTATGCCAACACCCCCCCCCAAAAAAAAAGGAAAAAGAGGTCTAAGTGAACGAGTGGCCCAATCTCAGCCTACGGCCAGGCCAGCAAAGATCCACCCCTGCAGACCCCAAGCACCTCAGGTTTACAAGACTGGGGTGAAGAGGAGGAGCAAGCTGAAAAATAAGTCTCTTATGGCGCTGGGGACCAGAAGAGGGTCCCCTTCTCTTACAGTCACCTCCTATCTCAGACCTGGGGTCTCCTCCCACAGACTCAGGCTAGGGACCCTCTCCCTTAGACCCAAGGCTCCCCCTTCCCTCAGACCCAGGGTCTCCCAGTGCACCTGGTGCTCCGAGGGAGGCAGCGAGCTCAGCATGATTGTAAAGTCGCTGGCGATTAAGCCCGCTGACACAATGCCCCAGCGCAAGGCCATCTTCACCACAGCAGGTCTGAAGAGCCTCTGCCCTCTGCCGGAACGGCTGGAGGCGGGGCCTACGGAAAGGTGTGTGCTACTTGGCTCTACCTTCCGGTGAACACTATCTGAGTTGAAGCTTTGACCCTTAAGGACACAACTAAAGTGTCATCAGAGAGAGGTGCCTGGGGAACAGAGAGAGGAGCATTGGAGAAATGCCCCTCCCCCCACCTCCGTACTCTGTTGCCTAGGAATTCACAAAATAGCCCAGGCTGCTGACCTCAGACTCAAGGCAATCCTCCTGCCTCAGCTTTTTGGAGTGCAGAGATTATAGGCATACATCACCATCCCTGTCTTTCAGGTGTCTTTTTACTTTTTATTTTGAGACAAGGTCTTATAGTGCTAGAAATTACTCTCATGAAAATGACCATAGGATCCAAAGTGTTTCTGGGAAGACAGAAAGTTTTACTGCTGTGAAAGGGCGCACAGCTATGTCAAAGCAAGCAGGCCAGCACAGCCGCCAGGGACGCGGGGTTTGCTGTTGTGTGTGTGTTGCCTGCATGTGTGTGTGTGCACCGTGTACATTGCTAGTGCTCGCGGAGATCTGAAGAGGGTGTTTTGGTGTCGAGAGAGATGGCTCAGCAGCAGACCCAAGTTCAGTCCGTGTGACAGCTCGCAACCGCCTTTAACTCCGGCTGCTCGAGCTCCAATGCCTTCTCCTGTCCGTTGTGGGCACCCGGCCTGCACACGGGACACATACATGCATAAGGCCAACCACTCAGACACACAAGATAAATCTAAGAAGAAAGAAGGGGAGAGACCAAAGAATTAAAAATCAGTGGGTAGTTAAAGTTTAAAGCACAAGCCTGAACGAAGGCTGGCTAGGGGGAGACATGTCCGGCCACCTTCGGGGAAGAACTAGCCCTACCTTACCGCATTCTTTCCTGCCCACTAATTATTCAGTTGCTAGGAAACAGCCCCTCTCCCCTAGGGCAGCCAAACAAGGGAAGCTAGTCAATTAATGGTTTGGGGACCTTCCTATAGCCAATCAGTTCAAAATGCAACATCCCCTTCTGTGTTTCTACCAATAGATGCTTGCCAGGCAGGAATCCCCCTGCTTTGGGCATGCTGGGAGGGACCGAACTCTTTAAATCACCCAACTAACCTCAGCACCACTTCGGAGGTGAGGCCGCGTGAGCCCAAGCTGTGGCTTGCAATAAAAAGATCCTCATGTGTTTTGCAACAGACTCGACTCCTGGTGGTCTTTTGGGGTCTCGTGAATCGGGCACAATGAAAGAAAGAAATAGAAACCTAGAAGAAGGTGTTGGATCCCTGGAACTGAAGTTACAGTGGCCATTCGTTACACGGCTATGGGAACCTACCCTGGATCTTCTGCAAGAACAGTAAGTGCTCTTACCTGCTGAGCCCTCTCTCCACCCCCAGATTGCACCTTTACAAGTCTCTTTACTAACAGAAATTCCTTTACCTCATTTGACTTTCAGAGAGAAAAGAAAATGCTCCATACACCCCCATCTCATATACATCTCCTCGTTAATAACACAATTCCATTCTTTCTTTCTTCAGATTCACTCAGCTCTGTCCACCTGTGTCATGTTCACTTGGCAGGACCTGTGTCAGTTACCACAGCCTTAATTAATCATTGAACTAACTGGTTGTGCAACCACTCACTGTAATCCTGACCCCTGGGGCTTTATCAAGGGAAGTCAGGCCTGAGGTCACGCTCCCTCTCCACTTCCGTGTTAGCCTTTGACAGAAAGGACAGTTCATTTCCTTTTCTTTCCCTGACATAGGTGCCTCAGGGTATGCTTGAAATACTCCTCCTGCCTCAGCTCCCCAAGCAGCTAGGACAACAGGCTTGCACCACAGGCCTGACAGGTGGTCTTGCTTTTTTTCTCTCTCTTTAATAATTGATTTTATTTTTACTGTATGTGCATTGGTGTTTTGTCTGCATGTATATCTGTGTGAGGGTGTCAGATCTTAAGAGTTACAGACAGCTGTGAGCTGCCATGTGGGTGCTAGGAATTGAACTCGGGTCCTCTGGAAGAGCAGTCAATGCTCCCAACCACTGAGCCATGTCTCCAGGCCCTGGTCTGCTTCTATGACCCCTGGAGTTAGGGTCCTCGTCCACATCCCTTTTTTTGGTACTGGCTCAGGGCTGGACCTCTGGGGGGGGGGGTACCTTTTCTGTTCTGGAAAGCTCAAGTCCCCGCAGATTGTACTTACTGGAAATTCTCAGAGGATCAACTGAGTTCTGTGGCCAATTATGTAATTATTCTCAGTTGTTTGACCAAGTCCACCTTCAGCCAGACAATATCCTTGTCTTGTAGATATTTAAGACTTGGTACCTGGGGGCTGCAGAGGTGGCTGGTGGGGAGGATGTGCTGCTTTTGCAGAGGGCCCCCATTTGGTTCCCAGCATCCACAATCATCTGTAACTCCAGCTCCTGGGAATCTGACACCTTCTCTGAATTCTGTGGGCTCCTGCACTACTGTGGTGCACACGCTCAGACACACCGAGAACTAAAAAGAAATCATTTTTTAAAAAGGCTTTATGCAGGACTTGGTGGCATACATCTTTCACCCCAGAACTCATGATGCAGAGGCAGATGGAGCTCTGCAAGTTGAAGGCCAACGTGGTGGACAGAGTTCCACACTAGCCACAGCTACAAAGCCTGTCTCAAAAATCAACAAAAAAGGCCTTGGTGTGGGAGGTGGCCCAAGGCCGCATCCCTCTCTGAGGAGCTCTAGGCAGTTAAGGTTACTGAGGGAGGCAGGGAAGTTCTTGTCCCCCAGCTGTGCAGCTATTGTGTTGCGTGGTGGTTTTTTGTCCTTTGTTTTTTGTCTCTCCCTGAATCACGTATGTGGTGCCATTTTGGAGAACAAAATACACTCACCCAGAAGCCATGGCTGCTAACCAGTGACAGCCAGGTCCATGGTAATGGAACTACTGGCACCTCCCTGGTAGGTACAAGAGGGGAGAGTCACAAGGCCTAAGATTCCAGGTATTGGTCCTCCAGCTTCACGTGACCTTGAGCGATGCTAGGGGACATGGAGAGTGGTGGTGTAACTGAGAGGCTCTCCAGGGAGGCTCCTGCGAAGCCATCGGTGACATGGGGGGACATGGCGGTGCCGCTGTTTCGGTGCCAGTACTCTGTGATACCCTTATCCTTTTTCTGCACACTAGCTCATCAGAGAATGTCCCATCCAAGATGAGGACACAGCTAGCCACCCTCCTTGTGTTCTCAGGGCCAGCAGGACATTAGTGGGAAGCTGTATGGTAATGGGCTTCCAGGAGCAGATTCCCCCACTGACAGAATCCAGAGTGGATGCTGGTGTAAATGTGTGTGATATCTGGAGCTGTCACAGCCACGTGGGACCGTGAAGGGAGTACGGTGTTGCAGTGACTGACACAGCTAATAGGGTAATTTCCTCGAAACCCTGCAGCTACTATGCGGCAGACGTATAGTACACATGCAGGCCCAAGAGTCATGTTGGCTGTGGTCCACACTGCGTCTTTACTGAGATTCTGTGCTTTGGAGCTTGCTCACCTGGCCAACGTGGACAAGCAGTCCCCAGGGAGTCACCTGACTCTGCCTCCTCCCTCCTAGGATTACAAGTGTTTTATTCAAGTGTGCCAAGGAACTGAATAGGTCCTCATGCTGGCACACATTCCAACTGACCCATTTCTGTGGCCCCTTTTTTTTAGAATGATCTCACTATGTAGGCGTGGCAGGCCTGAACTCAAGGATCTGCCTTTCTCTGCCTTCCCAGTGCTGACAGTAAAGGGGTATACCATCTTGCCTGGCCTTTTTTTTTTTTTTTTTTTTTTTTGGTGGTGGTGGTGGGGGTTGTCTTTGGATACAGGGCTCCCTCATCTAGCCCAGGCTGGCTTTACCTTGTTAAATAGCTCAGGATGACACTGAGCTCCTAATCCTCTTGCTTCCAGCTTCTAAGTCCTAGGATTACAGGCATTTAACCCCACGCCTCATCTATGTGGCCTGTGGGACGGAGCCTCATGAATGCTAGGCAAGCATACCAACTGATCTACAGCCCCTTAATAATATATAAATAAATTATTATAATTATAATAACTTATTAAGCCATTAATTTTTTTTCAAGCTCAGATCTAGGTCTTCTATCCCCATGACAAAATTGACTGTGAGGCCATTCTGCCAAAAGCAGACAGAAAGCTACCACTGCAAGCCTCTCAGAAATGCCGTGCCCACAGGATACTGAGGAGTCGGGCAGGTGGCATGCAGGGAGACTTGCATGAGGGTAGTACATACACACAGATACTCTCATGTTTATTTGTGCCAGGCCATATTTGATGAAACTGGAGCACAGGGCAGGACACAGCAGTGAGGCGTGAGGCCAGGGAAGTGGGTGTACCAATCTTCAGGAACCCCACAGGAAGCTGAACCTCAGCTTGGGGTGTAGCCATACCTTCTGGGGCCATGGGGTGGGTACTGGGCCCAGGAGGTCAGGATAAGCCTGGTGAGGCGGTGGTGGGAGCCAGGGGTCCAGGCAGAGCTGGCAGTTAGTTACTTGAAGGACGTCCATGTCCTGAGCCTCCAGCTACCGACAGGAATCATTCACCCCACAGAAGGCAGAGAGTCAGAGGGACCAAGCCAAGCTCCTGTGACCCACTGACAATAGGTACAGGAAGTAAAGTGGCTGAGCCTGGAGCAGCTAAAAGCAAACCAGGAAGGCAGGCTTGGAGTAAGCCCTCCAGGTAGGGAGGGTCTCCTGGAACCTCAGCTCTAGCACTGAGTCCCTGTCAGAAAAAGAAAAGCCAGGAGACAGAAGGAAGGAACCAGGATCTGGAGCTGTGAGAGCTGAGACTAGCGGACACAGGCGAAAGCGCATCTGAGGAACAGGGAAGTCCTGTTCTCCTCCCCAGGAGAGGGCTCTGGCCTCCAGAGAGGCTGCAAGGACACTTCCATCACTGTCTGTGGGAACAGGAGGGGTGGGGTCACTGAGGTCCTAAGTGCTGCGAATCCAGCTGGGGCAGCACGGGGGGCTGCTCCGGGGCCTTCTTTTCAGATGCAGCCACATCTTTCTGGTCCCCTGCTGGAGCTGGGACAGGAGCATCATCTGCAGAGGGAACAGGACAATCATGTTAGACACCAAGTCCTCCCTCAGACACAGGAGTCCAGGCCCAGGCCTCCTCCCTTAGACTCAGGATACTCGCCTTGGATTTAGGGACTGGGCCCTGGCCCTTCTCTGTCAGACCCACTGTCCCAGGGTACAGAACCAGTACCTGTGTCTGCACGGAACTGCAGTTGCCCATCAGGCTTGGAAAGTGGAGCATTCTGTTCCTGCTGCTGCTGCTGCTTCCTTTGCTCCATTTGCAGAACAGCCTGCAGGAAGTGGATGCACAGACAAGAGATTATGGCCTCAGAAAGACCCTACAACCACCTGCTAAGTGGCCACAGTCTTCCCCATAGCCTTGACTCCTCTGTCACTGAACTGGGTTTCGCACCAGTAAGGATTCAGTTCTCTTCTGTGATGGCTTAGATGCTCGCACACTGATCCGTTATCCTCCTCTCCTGGGTCAGACATCTCTCACTGCCTTCATGTTAAATGGCTGTTGTAGCATAGTCAAGTGTGGAGAATCCTCTGCCCTTACTAGTGATGGCAGCTGCCACCTGTGTACACACACACTCAAGTATCAACATGGCAGCTACAGGCCATCTCGCCCTGAAGACACCCATTTGCATAAAGAAAAAGGTCCTAGGAGATCCAGAGAACAGGTCCAGATTCTCCAACCAGTCACCTGCTGCAGTTCTCTCTTCTGAGCCTCCAAGCGGTCCTGGGAGCGCCCCAGGGCCTCTGTCTCCTGGCTGAGGCGCTGGGCCTTGGCATTCAGCTCAGCTTCCCGCGCAGCAAGCTCCTCCTCAAAACGCCTCAGTTCCTCCTCTGTATAAGCTGGATACATCTCCACCGTCTGCAGGGCACAGGCCAGGGTCAGGCGAGCAACAGGGCAAGTCCAGCCTCACTGCGGTGGAAGGGTGAGGCTGGGGTGCATGTGTGTGTGCTAGGGGCACACACCAGTGACACGACTGAAAGTGGAGTTTTAAACCAGGGAACCACAAAGGGGCAGAGGCCCAAACAGATCAACAAACAGCCAGAGGTGCTGAAGGAAAGGCTGCAACTAGGAGACATTCAGGTCTGAGCGTTTCCCGTGTTCTCACCTATAGTGAAATGCACAGTAAAGCCTTTGTGTCTAGCACTGAATGAAATGCTTCAGCAAAGCATTTGCTATAATCAGAAGAGGCTGAGAGATCGTTTTGTGACTTTTGAACCTTGAGGAAATGTTAACTCTCTGGAGAATGTGCACTTGGTGCTATGTGAGAGCTTGCAGCTACACCGACCTTGGTCCTAAGACACTCCTGAACTTAAAAGTTTTTACTTTGATTATGGCCATGGTCAAAAGGGACTGAGATTTTGTGGGTTGTCTACTCCCACAGGCAGCAAGGGCAAGATAACTTTGGTAGCTGGACCCTTTCCCAGCCCCAATTAACCTTGTATCCGTTTGGATAAAGTAACTGGAGTGAGCTGTCCGTCTGTCAGCCTTTTCCAATAAGACTGAACCCCTCTGCTCCTCTGGGAAATGAAGGCTTAGCACCTTGGTGAGTTCTTTCCCAACTTTCCCAACTCTCCCACCTGTGACCAACATCAAACAATACTTACCTTCCATCCCTCCCCAGTGTCCCCAAACTCCTTCCTCTGTGTGGATGCCAGGAATTCCTCCAGGGTCACCAGGCGGTCCTGGTTGGTGTCCACCTGTGGAGCCAGATCAAGGTTAGGTTGTGCTGAATGTGCTGCCCACTGCCCACCCCAGCCTGGCTTCTCTCACATTCTTCATCACGTGCTCCCGCATACGAAGCCGCTCTTCCTCCATCTCTCTCATGTCATCCTCCTCATTCTTCGGGTCGTATACCTTCTCCAACTGCAGGGTTAAGGGACAAGCATGAGGGGCTGAGGACAACATCACTCCTGATGTACATACTTTGCCTCTCCAGGACCTTGGGAACTCCAAGGGCTTTGTCTCCAGAGGCTGCTGGGAGTCGCAGCTTTTTCCTGCACTCACTGACAGGGAGCCAGAGGATCCCTTGGGGTGCACGAGGCTGAAGCATGTCTAGCCCGGAAGGCTTCTGCTATACTTACCTCCTTGGTAAAGAGGGCCTCCAGCTCCTGCTCATCTAGGACACCATCGCTGTTGATATCTGCAAAATGAGATAAAGGCATGTTAGGGTTGGAGGAGTCTGGTTCCCAAGGGAAAAGCTACTGAAGGAATTAAGGGTGGATATGGTCTCTTAGCAAAGGACAAATAGAACAATGGCCCATGGTCAGTGGCTTCAGTGTCCTGCAGGACCTGCTGCTACCCATTTTGGCTGGGTGTGGTGGTGCACGCCTCTAATCCCAGCATCCCTGAAGTAGAGCCAAGTGGATCTCTTGAGTTCGAGGACAGCCTGACCTATAGAGTGAGTTCCAGGACAGTTGGGGCTATGCAGAGAAACCTTGCCTCAAAAAAAAAAAAAAAAAGTTTAGCGAACAGGGTCTTAAGTATGGGGTCCAGGGGCTTCGTGACCTTTGCTCCTCAGAGAGCAAGGTCCATGTCAATTCCAGCACCATGGACTACAGTCCTTGCCTACCAGCTTGACCCTCAAGGCGATGCCAGGCTTAGACTCACTTCTGTCTCCTACGAAGCAGCCACCAGCATTTCTTGCCATTCTCGGGGCTCCTGGATTTCCCTGGCTTGACTGTGTGCTGAGCCCACAGCTGGGCGGGCGGTACCACCCTCTCCCTCCTCCTTGGCTCTACCCTTCCTTGTGCAGTATGTCCCCCAGCCCTGGAAGCCTGTGGAGCGTTGTCCGTGGGTGCTTGTTTTTCACTCACCTAGAACATGACTCCCTGTGAGGCAGCAAGGCTCTACCCATCATTTTGTAATTCCTTCTTTGCTTTTTCAGTGGCACTGAAGACTGAACCTAGGGCCTTGCACAGGCTAACCACACATGCTGCCAGCTGGATCGCCACTCTGCACCACCCCCACTTCTCACGTGTTTACATGTCCTCTCTGGAACTGCCCGTTCTAACTCCACAGCCACTGGTCATGTGGAGTGGCTAAAGTTGCAATGACACCAAATTCAGCGGCTGAACACAGACTGCGTTTACCCAGGGCACCCTGAGCCAACGTCACAGAGTCAGGAACGACAATGGCAGGTGACAACATGGAATCTATGGGTTGAGGAGGGGTGACTAGGAGCTGATGGGTAGAGAAGTCTACAGAAATCCACCTGGCCTTGCCTCCCAAGTGCTTTTTTTTTTTTTTTTTTAATTCAGTTAGATTGGCCTCCAAGTTGCCACATGGGTATAGGTGACCATGAACTCCTGAGTCTCCTCTGGGTCCTGAAGGGTGGTCAGGTGCCAGGTGGACTTCACCGTACTTAGCTCAAAGTTCCAGTTTTGCAAGATTAAAGGGTATTTAGGAATTGGCTGCACAACAGAATGCTTCAAGTTGGGCTGGAGTCACAGGGCTTGCTCTGCATTATGAAGAAGACTGTGTTCCATTTCTGGCAACAAATCAAGCGAAATCCACGAACTGCTACATTTTCATACTTAAAAATTAGTACTGCAGGCCAGGTGCGGTGGAGCATGCCCGTAATCTCAGTACTCGGCACGCAGGGAGGCGGAGGCAGGCAGATCTCTGTGAGTTTGAGGCCAGCCTGGTCTACCAGGCAAGTCCAGGACAGCCAAGGCTACACAGAGAAACCCTGTCTCAAAAAAAAAAAAAGAAAAATTCAGTACTGTGGCTAAGTGGTGGTGCATGCCTGTAATCCCAGCACTCAGGAGGCAGGGGAGGCGGATCTCTGTGAGTCCGAGGCCAGCCTGCTCTACAACATGAGTCCAGGACAGCCAAGGCTACACAGAGAAACCTTGTCTCAAAAAACCAAAAATGTGCACTCCTGTGGGCATCTGAGCCTTAGATGTTTCCCTAGATCTCCGGTTCACTCCCATTCTTGTCACAGCGTACCTCTGTAACACATCTCAAGTATTAAGTCAGAGGTCAACATGTGGGAGTTGTTCTCTCCTTCTGTCGGGTGACAATTCAGGTTGCCATCCTTGTGGCAGCCTCTATTCTCTCAAGCCTAAAAACTTCAATTCCCAACAGTCTGGTGGCAGTTTTTTTAAATATGTATGCGTATTTTGCATGCATGTATGCACGTGTACCTATGTGTGCCTAATGCTCTCAGGGGACAAGAGGGCCCTGGATCCCCTGGAACTGGAATTCGATGCTTGTGAGTACCACATGAGGGCTAGGGTCCTCTGAGGAGCAGCCATCACTCCAGGCCCCTTACCACCCATGGCAGTTTCACAGAGGCACCAAGACTTTTTTGTCTCCATGGCTCTTGTAGTTCTTCATGTACTCCTCAAGCCTGGTCTGCTCAGTTAGAGGGCCTGGCAGAGGAGAAACACTTGGCTCTTCCATGGAAGAAACAGGGAGGGAGTCTTTGGCCAGTCAGGGTATGAAGGAGGCCTGGTAGGACTCAGAAAGCCCTACTGGGAGGGTAGACTTTCCATGCCATTCAGGCCCCAGAACCATCAGAACCTCTCATCAGCATGGGTCTGGAATAACCTTCTCTGCTTACCGTGCAGTATGAAGAAGGTCTTAGGGTTGAACCTGTTGGGGTCCAATCCATCTAACTCCTCCCACACCTCCTTCAACTGGGCTTGGCTGCCCTGTGGAGAAGAGCAGCAGGAGCATGTAAACAATGAATCTAAGAGCCACTGCATCAGGTCAGATAGCCCTGTGTGCCCACCCAAGAAACTTTAGTCCCTTCAAGGCAGAACTGCAATTCCCAGCAATCTATGGTGCAGCAACCTATGGAGTATCATATAGGTAGGTGGGGTTTTGCCTAAAGGACTACTGGGAGTTGTAGTTTTGCACCTGTAATTTTTTCCCCCTGCTTAGGAGTTGGACAAAGTAAAGTATACATGGGGGTCCTTACAGGGACATTGACTTTGGGGTGTTCCCGGTGTCTGCGCTGTTGCTCTTGTAGCTTCTTTTCGGCCTCCTTCCGCTGCTCCTCTCCTAGAGACTCCAGGTACCGTCTTCTCTCATGTTCCTTGAGCATCTCATAGCGTTTAAACTCTTCATGATGTGCAGCGTCATACTGGGCAAGGTCCCGGGTGGCCTGTGGAGAGGTAAGAAGGTCGTATTTCTCCTTTCAGACACCTGGTGTGACCTCACTTTCTTGATCTCCATGTTGGTCCTGCCCACAGCAACCCCTGTGGTGCTTTCCCAAAGTAATGATGTTTGTGCAGTAGCAGCTTGGATGTGACTCTTCCAAGTCCTCCACAAGCTCAGCATTTTAGGAATGAGCATGTGAGGAGGCTTAATACAGAAAGCAGCCCGGCTTGAGCAGCCAAGAACATACAGGAAGGAGCCAACCTGTAATCTCAGCACTAAGAAGGCTGAGGAAGGAGGATGGCAAATTCTTTTTTTTTTTTTTTTTAATTATTTATTTTTATTCCATGTGCATTTGTGTTTTGCCTGCATGTATGTTTGTGTGAAGGTATCAGGTTCCCTGGAACTAGAGTTACAGACAGTCGTGAGCTGCCATGTGGGTGCTGAGACATGAACCTGGGTCCTCTGGAAGAGCGATCAGTGCTTTTAACCACTGAGCCATCTCTCCAGCCCTGAGAATGGGAAATTCTAAGCCATCCTGGGCTACATATCAAGACACTTGCTCAAAACAAACCTTATAAGACAATGAATTTATGCTTTCTCGAGCTACCATGTTTTTAATTTTCATTGCAGCGACACAGTTACTAATGGGGAGGCTGCACTCTCCAGGTGGCTGTGCACCAAGGGACAGTTGTCAATGCCAGACAACTTTTTGTTACATCAAGAGGCAGTCTTAGACATCTAGTGGATAAAATCAGGACTACTGCTGAACACCCTACAATGCAGAGACCAGACTCCATCCCAGAGCCCTAGCCTCCCTGCTTCCCTGTAGAAAAGCAGGAGGGAACTCAGCCCCAGCATCCCTCCACTAGGAGCAGGACCCAGGCTGCATCTAGGACTCAGCCCCCCCTCCTCCTGCTAAGCATTTCCACCCTAACCCTCACCCACCGTCTGGATCAGCAGCTCAAGGTCCCGAGCCTCAAATGTGTGCTGGTTCTGAGGGTCCAGGTGTTCAAACTGCTTCAGGAGGCTCAGGTGGTCCACCTGCAAGTCTGGAGAAGGGAAAGTCAAATGAAGCAACACCTATCAAGGCTGTTCTGTCAGAACCCCTGACTCAGGGCAGGAGTGCAAGAAGGAAAAGTCACGGAGGGCCTAGGAAGCAAAGAGGATGGCACATGGGCCCTCCACTGAGTCTGATGCTTAAAATGACAGTAACCACGATGACAGCAATGCCAGGCCCTGCTCCTAACAGAACGCTAAATAGAAGTCCCTGCCTCCCCATTACAGCCTGCTAACATGGGCTCCATAATTAGCCCTGATGAGTTTGTTGAGGTGAGTGTGTGTCTCATTAATTGCTTTCAGGCTGGGCAGCAGGTGCCTTACAGGCTGAGCCATCTTGCCAAGCTCTAAACCACTCATTTAAAGCATACAATTAGACAGTTTTTAGTATGTTCATAGGTATACACAAATAGCAGCACCATGACTTTTAGGATTCTACCCAGGCCCTTAGCTAGCACCCTGTTTCTCCCCACAGCTGCTGGCAGCCACTCATCTGCATCCACATCTGTGGACTGCCCTATTGGGGACGTTCCACGTGCTGTATGGCCTTGTGCCTGGCTGTGACAGCACCCCACTTCTGAGGTGTATTTCCATTGTTCTGCATGCAGGTTTCTCAGACCTTTTAAGGGCCGACTGATGTTTCATGGTGCAGATAGGTCACATTTAATTTATCCACCCCACAGCCTCAGACATATGAGCTATTGGTTCCTTTAGCAGTTGTGCAGTTTCTATTATAGCTCTGTGTGATACTGTGGTTTCTGCTCAGACAGGTCTTTTCTAGTACCAGGCTTAAGAATGTGCCCCATGTAGGTGGGCATGGTGATATAGGCTGGGCTTTTCTGGGAGTACAGAGTGAGAGTTTAAACAAACAGCTACAGTTAGGCACGTGCCTTGAGTCCATCTATGAGAAGCTGGTGGTGTGACTCAGCAGCACACTGTTGTTACATGATTTTGTGTGTGTGTGTGTGTGTGTGTGTGTGTGTGTGTGTGCGTGTGTGTGCGTGCACAGGTACACAGAATTTGTGTGAAGATCAGAGGTCAACTCTGTGGAGTGGCTTCTCTCCTCTCCCAGCATATGTGGTTCAGGGATCAAACTCAGGTCATCAGGCTTGGGGGCAAGTGTCTTTATCCATCTCACAGGCCCTTACTACAGTTCAATAAAAATATTTACAAGAAAAAGCAGAGCTGGGTGTGGTGGCACACGCCTTTAGTGCCAGCACTCAGGAGGCAGAGGCAGGTGGATCTCTGTGAGTTTGAGGCCAGCCTGGTCTATGAAGAGAGTCTAGGACACCCAGGGCTCTGTTACACAGAGAAACCCTGTCTTGAAAGACCAAAAGAAGAAGAAGCAGCAGGAAGAAGAAGGAAGAAGCAGGAAGAGGAAGGAGGAAGAAGAAGGAAGAAGAAGGAGAAGAGGAAGAAGAAGAAGAAAAAAGAGGAAGAAGAAAAGAAAAAGCAGTAACATATGGTGGCCTACTCTAGCACTGAAGAGGTACATGAAGAAGGATCAGGCCATCCTTGACTACATATTAAGTTTGAGGCTAGCCTAACTATATGAGACCCTGTCTCAGAAAGGCAAATTCTCCACAAACCCCACAAAATAAACAAAAGGGAGAGATAGACAGAATAATATTAGTATGAAACTGCCAGAAGGAAAAGAAAACCCTGGGTGGCCTGCCACCCCGTTTCCCAAGAGCCACCCACCCAGTACCGAGCTACACAGGCACCAACCACCCACGCTTACTGGGCTCCTGCTTTGCATCCATCTTGGCCTTGAGCAGCATCCGCAGCCTTGATACCTCCTGTCGCTTGAGCTCATCCAGCTTGGTGCGGACATGGTGGCTGACAAAGTCCAGCTCCCGACTCAGCTTTCCACTCTTCAAGGACAGAGAAGGAATAACCCAGTCAGGCCGGCGCTAGGAGGGGAAGTGCTGAGCAGCAACACTCCACACCCCGGATCGCCAAACAACCAAACTCCCAGGTTCCAGATGCTCCATTATGCTCACGTCTCTCCTGCTTGCAGCCTGCCCACAGGACCAGGACGTAGGCTGTGACCTGTAGAGATGCCCAGCTCACCTCAGACCCAGCAGTACTGACTGGGGGGTGCCCACACTCACAAGGCTGTTCCCACCACAGGGCCGCTGACTGTCCTGCCACCTCTTTCTAATCAACTCTGCTTTCAGTACGCAACAGAGAAGGCACGCACCCCTTAGGGAGCATTTCCAGACATCACTTCACCCACCCACAAAGATGCTGAGTCCGTTGCTTTCTCTGGGCTATGCCTGGTATCATCTTGACTCTGTGTTCCTCCATCAGAGCTGACCCTGGCCTCTCCTGTTCACAGCACTCCAGGGCTCCCCAGTGTCTCTGCTAGAACAAGTCCCTATGACACTGCCTGCCATTAGTCATAAGGAGGTGCCAGCTAACACCTGAAGGCACCTCGAGGGCGTCTTCTGCAACCCAGTCTGACATTTGGGATGCTCCCCCCTGCACACACACATCCATCATGGACATCCCTGGTGATGGGTAAGACTGTCCACCTGCTGGGGGCAGTGGCCCACACCTTTAATCCCAGCACTTGGGAGACAGAGGCAGGTGGATCTCTGAGAGTTCAAGGCCAGCCTGGTCTACAAAGTCCAGCACAGCCAAGGCTACATAGAGAAACAAACAACAACAACAAAAGACTGTCAACCTGACAGCACCTGGAATTACCTAGAAGACAAACAATGGCGCATATCTGAAAGGGAGTTTCTAGACGGGGTTAATTAAGGTAGGAGGATGCTCCCTAAGTAGTGGTGGCACTAGCCCATGAGCTGGGCTCCACAACTGAAAACAAAGGAGAAGGGGAGGTGAGCACCAGCATTCATCCATATCTTTGACTGGATACAACACAGCTGCTGCCTCCCACCCCCGCAGCAAAGTCTGTCTCGGGTGGACTGTACCCTTCAACTGGGAACAAGGAGAAACCCTTCCTTGTGTTATTTTGTCAACTATTCCGTCACAGCAAAAAGTAACCAAGACAGAAGCCAAGTAGAGGAAGCAGGTAAGAACTCAAGGAGGGACCAGGACTACCTCCTAACAGATGGGAAACGGAGGCATGGCAAATTGAGGTTCCATAGCTGATGAATGGTACAGCTGTACCTCATCTGTCCATGTTTAAGCACATCTTTGGGAGTACGCAGACTCCTTCCCAGCTGTTACACCCCAAGAAGCTCCCTTGAGCACATCCTCCTCACAGCCCATGACCAGCGCACCTTGATGTCCTCAGCGTTGGCAGCTTGCAGCTTCTCCCGGAAGTGGCCGTCTGTCTCTAGCACATTGATGACCTCCTGGAGGTACCGGTGGTAGTACAGGCCTGTGTCCTAAGGGACAAAGGAGGACATGGCAATACCTGCCTCACCTTCTAAGTGTCTTTCCAGCAGCCAGGACCACAGCTCAGCTCCCAGGTTGCAGCAGATGTACCCTCCACACATAATCAGAAGCCTGTAGTACTGGCTTCAGACTCCCAGCCAGAGCCAGCCAGTCCAGGTCCCAACCCCTGACCTTCTGCCAGTGCCCACCTCCTGGAAGATTCTACGGCACACAAGAAATGAAAATCATATGGGGGAGCTGAAGAGATGGGGAGGTGCAAAAATGCTCTCTGCATAGGCATGAGGACCTGAGTTGGAGTCCCAGAACCCACTTAAAAAGTCAGGCCTGTGGCTGGAGAGATGGCTCAGTAGTTAAGAGCACTGGCTGCTCTTCCAGAGGACCCGAATTCAATTCCCAACACCCACATGGCAGCTCATAACTGTCTGTAACTACAGTTCCGGAGGATCTGACGCTCTCACACAGACACACATGCAGGCAAAGCACCAATGCACATTAAAAAAAAAAAAAAAAAAAAAAAGTCAGGCCTGAACTGGAGAGATGGCTTAGGAGATAAGAGCCCTCGCTGCTCTTGCAGAGGACTCAACTTTAGCTCCTGTCACCCAAATCTGGTGGCTCACAACCATCTCTAACTCTGGCTGAAGGGATCTAATGCCCTCTTCTGGCCTCGCAGGCACCTACACGCACATGACATAAACACATACAGACGCATGAATAACTTTTTAATAAAAGTTTTAGAAAATGGTAAAAATACGGGAGGAAGCCAAGTTAGCTTAGAGTTTAAGAACAGAGTAATAACTGCTCAGTTCTTGTGCTGTGAAGCTTGTTTAAATAAAAAAACAGTAAAAATAAACCTTAAAGGAAAACCCAAATGTGACACTGCATGTTTACCATGCCAGCTGCAGAGCAGAGACAGGCGCTTCTCTTGGAGTGCAGTGGGCCCACAGCCTGACCTGCTGTGTGTATTCTGGGTCCCAAGGAGACACCCTGTCTCACAACAGGGTAGATGGCCGCCAAGGAAGGGTCCTAGAGGTAGAACTCTGGCCTTCACGTGCAAGCGCATGTGCAGCTGTGCACACACAAACACACATAAAACCCAAACATACACACTCACACAAAAATGGAAAGAAAACCACAGGGAGATGCCAGGTGTGGTAGTATACGCTTGTGATCTCAGCACTTGGGGGCTGACGCATGAGGACTGCCTCAAGTTCAAGCCCAACCTGGGCTGCATGGAGGCATCCTGCCTTTAAAACAACCACAAAAGCCAAAAGAAAATAATGAAGATCCTCAGGACTGGAAATGAATGGAAAGGGGACTCAACTGTGCCTTTCTGTGTTGCAAACATTCCACAGAGCATCAGATGCTTACAGACCTTCACTGTTGGGTGCTGGTGTTTCTGAGTTCTCACTCAAAAAAGCATGACTTTGGGGGCTGAAGAAATGGCTCAGCAATTTAAAAAACATACTGCTCTGGCAAAGCACCCACACTGGGTCCCTCCTAACTGCCTGCAACTCCAGCTCTAGGGGATCTGATGCCCTGTTTTGGCTTCCTTAAGTACCTTTACTCACATGCACACCCACACACAGAAATACACATAGAAAATCTCAAAATCTAGCGGGTGTGGTAGCACACACCTTTGCTCTCAGCACACAGGAGACAGAGGCAGGAGGAGCTCTGTAAGTTTAAGAGCAGGCTGGTCCACAGAGCGAGTTCAAAGACACCCAGAGCTACATGGAGATTCTCTCTCTCACACACACAGTTTTTTTTTTTTTTTAAGAGTTATTTTATGGGCTGGAGAGATGGCTCAGTGGTTAAGAGCACTGTCCGCTCTTCCAAAGGTCATGAGTTCAATTCCCGGCAACCACATGGTGGCTCACAACCATCTATTATGTGAACCGATTCTCTCTTCTGGCAGGTGTAAATTCAGATAGAACACTCATATACATAAAATAAATAAAAAAATTAAAAGAAAGAGTTATTTTATGTGTACCAGTGTTCGGGCCACATGTATAGGTATGCCTAGTGCCCACAGACATCAGAAGGCATCAGATCTACTGGAACTGGAGTTACAGATGTTGTGAGCCACAGTGTTCATGCTGGGAACCAAACCTGAGTCCTTTTCAAAAGCAGTACCATAATAGGAGCCATCTCTCAAGCCCCTGGAATCTGTTACTTTTATCAAGACTAAGAACACACAAACGAAAACCCTGATTACCCAGTAACATATCTGGCAACATGAAGGGGCCTCACTAAGAAGCTTGTGAGCTGGGCATGGTGCACACGCCTTTAATCCCAGCACTTGAGACAGATCTCTGTGAGTTTTAGTCTAGCCTGGTCTACAAAGTCCAGGAGAAGAAGCTGCTGCTTGTCTGATGCCACTCTACTTCTCAGGTGGCATCCTTCTGTAGCTCACACAGGCCCCCATTTGCCTTTTGACTAAGGTTTCTATTTGGATGATCTGATACCCAGGCCTGGGGGCAGCAAAAACACTCAGCAGATAAGTGTGTTTGTTGTCAACCCTGACAAACTGAGTTTGATCCATGGAACTGACAATCGAAGAGGGGAGAATAAACGACCCCTGCAGGTTGTCCTCTGACTCCCACATTCGGATGCACCCCAAATAAGAACACACAGTAAGTAAGTAAATGAATGTGGAATGCAGGCACTGGCTGGCTTGCAACGAGATGGGCATGTGCTCGCTGAGTCCCCAGGCAGCTGCTCTATCCTAACCGTGGGGAGGCCACGCAAGGCTGCTGAGGCTGCGAAGGAGGATTAACTTGCTTTCAGCAACTTACTTTCTGAGGGACCTGACTGGCTGCCCACTGACCCCTTGTCTCACCCAGGCTGCCCACACATTGGGATCCACGGCTCTGGAGTCCAAACCAGAGAATACAGGTCCTTCCTAGTTCCTCCATGTGGTCCCACGACAGCAGTGTTGACACATATTGGGCCCCTTCTCTTTTGTTTTTTAATCTGTTTTGCTGGTGGTGATGGGACATGCTTTTAATCTCAGCACTCAGGAGGCAGAGGCAGATCTCTCTGTGAGTCTGAGTTCCAGGCTAGCCTGGTCTTTAGAGTAAGTCATAGGAGAGCCAGAAACTACACAGAGAAACTGTCTTCAAAAACCAAAACCAACACCGCCCCCCACCAAAAAAAGGAAGAAAATTTATTTTTATTTGTGTGTGTGCCTGTATGTATGCCATGTGTGTGCAGGTACCAGTGGAAGCCAGAAGAGGGCACTGGATTCCCTGGAGCTGGCTTTACAGGCATTGTCAGCAGTCCATGGAAGGTGCTGGAAACGAACTCAGGTCGTCTGAAAGAGCAGCAACACTCCTGACAAAGAGCCACCTGTCCAGTCCCTGGGTCACTGCCTCGACCTGCCTCACCAGCAGCCTGTCAAACCAAGGTTTAGGAGTGGAGGGAAAGTCAAAAGAAGACCCAGGGGGCTCCTTTTGGCATTCCTGGTTACACATGATTTTCTTCATTTTCTCTGTCAAGGCTTGAGCTGTTTTCCTGGGGCTGAGAACACTGTACTGCCTGGTTTTGTTGTCAGCTTGACACAGCTAGAGACATCAGAGAGGAAGGAGCCTCCATGAGGAAATGCCTCCATGAGATACAGCTGTAAGGCGTTTTCTCAATTAGTGATCAGTGGGGGAGAGGACCCAGCCCATTGTGGGTGGGGCCATCCCTGGGCTGGTGGTCCTGGGTTCTTTAAGAAAGCAGTTGAGCAAGCCAGTAAGCAACACCTCTCCATGGCCTCTGCAGCAGCTCCTGCCTCCAGGATCCTGCTCTGTTTGAGTTCCTATCCTAACTTCCTTCAATGGAAGTATATTCTGAATAAACCCTTTCCTCCCTAACTTGCTTTTTGGTCAGTGTCTTGTTGCAGCAATAGAAACCCTAAAACAGACATGGAACTCTTTTATTTTTATTTTTACTTTTGGTTTTTCAAGACAGGGTTTCTCTGTGTAGTCCTGGCTGTCCTGAAACTCATTCTGTAGACCAGTTGGCCTTGGACTCAGAGATGTGCCTGCCTCTGCTTCCTGAGATACTGGGATTAAAGGTGTACATCACCACTGGCTAGTAAAGGAGTTACAGTTTTGAGCGCTGGGAATCGAACCCAGGTCCTCTGAAAGAGCAGCCAGTGCTCCTAATCACTGAGCCATCTCTCCAGTCCAACTTAAGTTTTAATACTATTCACCAACTAGATCTGTAAAAGGCAAAAAGCAATCATACGTGCGCTATGTCCAGTCTGATGTAACTTGGGAGCCAGAACCAAGGAGAATATAGGGATGTCCTGGAAAACTTCCACTGTGAAACAGACACAGCCGAGGACTGATTCAACTGAGGAACTGTAGATCAGACTGACCCGGGGGTGGGGTGGGGTGGGGGGGCGGGGCGGTGCATGTCTTGATTCTTAGCTGACTTAGAAGGGCCCAGCCCACTATGGGAGGCACCATTCCCTAGGCAGGTGTCCTGGACCACGAAAGAAAGCTAGCTGAGCATGAGCCTGCCTGCCAACCAGCAGGCAGCATCCTCTGTGGTTCCTCCTCTATTTCTTGGTTGGGAAGTGGGCTCCTAGGTTGGAGGTCATACTGTGGCATAGCAAGCAGGCCTGCCTTCATGCTCCTGCCTTAACTTCTCTCAGGGACAGAGTGTGATCTGGAGCTGAGATAACCCCTCTCCTATGTTGCTGTTGGTCAGAAAATTTGTTCCAGCAACAGAAATGAAACCAGAACAGGGGTTAAAAGGACAGCCCATATTTTGGTGTTAGTCCCAAGGTTAGCTAGGTCCCAGAGGATGACAGGACACCTCTCAAAGGATCCTTCAGATCTAGTGTGCGGCCCATCTTCTTGAGTAGAGGGCCTGTGGAAAGGCAGAAGTTGATTTCTCACCAGTATACAGTCCACCAAGAGGAAGGTCAACACAGAGGGAAATGGCCTTAGTACTATGAAGGAAAGCCCCATGCCAGCAAGACCCTGACCATCCCAGCAGATGGCACAGTGGGAAAGGAAGGCTAAAGGAGCCTCACATGACCATATCAGTCAGAAGGAAAATGGCTAACCTTTGACAAACTGCAGGATTTTAAATACCCAGCAGGAAATTACAAAGAGCAGAATGTCTGCTGATAACATAAAGCAAAGTGAACCAAACTAGAGAATAGGACCAAGAATGGGCCAGGTCTCACAGGCCTCCCCATGAGGCATGGGCTACTGACATGCTAGGCAGAGCCATCAGGGTCCCCTAAAGCTAGAAAGCTAGTGCTTTTCCTAACCATAAGCCAGATGTTTTTTTTTTTTTTTTTTTTTTTTTTTTTTTTT